TCATTCTAAGGATTGTATCTGTATTTAAAAAATACCAGATAAATACTGACCAAAATAGCATACTATCATTATAAACAAGGATGTTATATTCATATAGGTCCTGTTATAATATACAATTATTACCTGCAGGGCACCTATATCTAACAAGAATCATACTAAGTAATAGACAAAGGTTATCCAGCAGCCGTGTAGATAGGGGGAAGATAAGAGGAAGTGAAGACAGAAGATAAGAGGGAGGCATTACGAGTCATATGAAAGGAATAACCAGAGTCAAAAATCCAGAGATCATTCATGCCAGTAACCGAAGGGTTGGCTGAAGAATCAGCAAGACGCATACCAGAGAGTTGTACAGTAGATGTAGAGGCTCTATGCTGAAGAGCATCAATTTGATGGCAAATATCAGAGAGTTGTGCAGCAGATGGAGAGGTGGCATGCTGAAGAGCCGCAATTTGACGACTAATATTTGCAATAGCTTGAAAGGCCTAAATTTGACGGTGAATATCAGAGAGTTCTACAGTAGATGGAGAGGTGGTATACTGAAGAGCCGCAATTTGACGACTAATATCTATAATAGCTTAAATGGTAGGGTTTGAAGTAGTAGATGGTATAATATTGATCGGTAATCCTGGTGTACTAGAGGATCGGGACTGAGAGGATCACTGACTATGACTAGTTCCTGAGGAACATAACTCAGGATGAAGCTAGAAACATGTCTCAAAGCGATGTCCCTCCTTCTTGCAATAGGTGCAAAAGAGCTTAGACTGAGCCTGAGAAACATGTGCCAGTGAAGAGGCCATAATAGCAGCAATTCAAAGTTCAAGATAATAATCCTTGAACGAAACCCGAATGTTTAAAGGAGAACCCGAAGGTTAATGTAGAAACCTGAAGGTTAAAATGTAAGAACCCGAAGGTTAAATTTGAACCCAAAGGTTATACATAACTGTCAAATCTGAGAAAAAAAGAAACAATCAGCGACCAAGGTGGCCCAAAGATCGACCGGATCTGATGCTCACGACGGAGACCTACAACGGATTAATACCGATGTTGAGATGTTGAGACGTCAAGATGGATTGAAACGATGATGCCGGTACTGACTGTGAAACGATAATGTCATTTGTTTGAGGCTGAGAGACGGCTTGAAACGATGATGCCGTTAATTTAAGACCGAAAGACGGTCTTGAAACGACAATGTCATTAAAATAGAACCCGAAGGTTTAAAATATAACCCCAAAGATTTAAAATGGAACCTGAAGGTTAAACGAGAACGCGAAATGCGTTAAGAAGCCGCAAAGCGGTAATGCCAAAAATCTGGCAGAGGAACGCAAAAAAACTTTAAATGACTGCAAAGCAGTAAGGCCAAGATTTGGAAAAAAAACGCTGAAGCGTTAAAAATTTTTATTGGAAGGGAAATAATAACCCTAGCTCTGATACCATGTTAAAGTAAGAGAAAGAGAGTCTTGGGTAAATTTTCCTTAAATTGAATATTAAGTGTGCACATATATTATACAAATAGAGGAGGTTGATGTGTGTTCTCACAACCAATATTGGACTAAAAACCCACTACTAACACTATTATCAACACTATTATAAACATTATTACAAAAAAAGGAGGAACTTTGTTTTTGGCTTAGGTCATCTCATATTGAAAGTCTGTAACTTCGACTATAAATAGGGAAAAGAAACAATTTCTTGCTATTTCCTATTCTATTTGCATAATTTTTTACCTTCATTGCAGCTGATAGATATATATAGAGCTTCTAACATGCTCATTTCATTTGGAGTTGTCATGATTAGAATAATTTGCTAAAGTTATAGATTGGATCTTAAACATATTTGTAGATATGTAAAGATATTTAAACTTGGATTACGTTTTAAATTTATGCAAAATTAGGCAACCATATGAATAAGCAGATATGTTAAATAGAAACATGTTAACTGATAGGGGGAAGATAAGAGGAAGTGAAGACAGAAGATAAGAGGGAGGCATTACGAGTCATATGAAAGGAATAACCAGAGTCAAAAATCCAGAGATCATTCATGCCAGTAACCGAAGGGTTGGCTGAAGAATCAGCAAGACGCATACCAGAGAGTTGTACAGTAGATGTAGAGGCTCTATGCTGAAGAGCATCAATTTGATGGCAAATATCAGAGAGTTGTGCAGCAGATGGAGAGGTGGCATGCTGAAGAGCCGCAATTTGACGACTAATATTTGCAATAGCTTGAAAGGCCTAAATTTGACGGTGAATATCAGAGAGTTCTACAGTAGATGGAGAGGTGGTATACTGAAGAGCCGCAATTTGACGACTAATATCTATAATAGCTTAAATGGTAGGGTTTGAAGTAGTAGATGGTATAATATTGATCGGTAATCCTGGTGTACTAGAGGATCGGGACTGAGAGGATCACTGACTATGACTAGTTCCTGAGGAACATAACTCAGGATGAAGCTAGAAACATGTCTCAAAGCGATGTCCCTCCTTCTTGCAATAGGTGCAAAAGAGCTTAGACTGAGCCTGAGAAACATGTGCCAGTGAAGAGGCCATAATAGCAGCAATTCAAAGTTCAAGATAATAATCCTTGAACGAAACCCGAATGTTTAAAGGAGAACCCGAAGGTTAATGTAGAAACCTGAAGGTTAAAATGTAAGAACCCGAAGGTTAAATTTGAACCCAAAGGTTATACATAACTGTCAAATCTGAGAAAAAAAGAAACAATCAGCGACCAAGGTGGCCCAAAGATCGACCGGATCTGATGCTCACGACGGAGACCTACAACGGATTAATACCGATGTTGAGATGTTGAGACGTCAAGATGGATTGAAACGATGATGCCGGTACTGACTGTGAAACGATAATGTCATTTGTTTGAGGCTGAGAGACGGCTTGAAACGATGATGCCGTTAATTTAAGACCGAAAGACGGTCTTGAAACGACAATGTCATTAAAATAGAACCCGAAGGTTTAAAATATAACCCCAAAGATTTAAAATGGAACCTGAAGGTTAAACGAGAACGCGAAATGCGTTAAGAAGCCGCAAAGCGGTAATGCCAAAAATCTGGCAGAGGAACGCAAAAAAACTTTAAATGACTGCAAAGCAGTAAGGCCAAGATTTGGAAAAAAAACGCTGAAGCGTTAAAAATTTTTATTGGAAGGGAAATAATAACCCTAGCTCTGATACCATGTTAAAGTAAGAGAAAGAGAGTCTTGGGTAAATTTTCCTTAAATTGAATATTAAGTGTGCACATATATTATACAAATAGAGGAGGTTGATGTGTGTTCTCACAACCAATATTGGACTAAAAACCCACTACTAACACTATTATCAACACTATTATAAACATTATTACAAAAAAAGGAGGAACTTTGTTTTTGGCTTAGGTCATCTCATATTGAAAGTCTGTAACTTCGACTATAAATAGGGAAAAGAAACAATTTCTTGCTATTTCCTATTCTATTTGCATAATTTTTTACCTTCATTGCAGCTGATAGATATATATAGAGCTTCTAACATGCTCATTTCATTTGGAGTTGTCATGATTAGAATAATTTGCTAAAGTTATAGATTGGATCTTAAACATATTTGTAGATATGTAAAGATATTTAAACTTGGATTACGTTTTAAATTTATGCAAAATTAGGCAACCATATGAATAAGCAGATATGTTAAATAGAAACATGTTAACTATACTATATAGATGTTAAGTTTAAGAATTAGATGTTAAATATTTGAATTAGAAGTTACTTTCAACATATAAGTATTAACTATATATATTACATGTTAATTTTAACAAATAGATATTCAATATACGAGTTAGTAGTGAACTTTTAATAAACAAATATTAACTATATTTATCTGTAGTTAATTATGAGTTTAGAAGTGAATTTTAATAGATAAATATATGAGTTATCTATTTTTATTTGAAGTTAATTTTTTTATTTAATCATTTTAGAATGGATATCTTTGTTTTAAAGGTGAGATAACACTTTAAGAGAACATAGGAAAAGGAGAAGGTGCTTTAGGCATGCTGAAGTATGCTTGTACTAAAGTCTGGATGTTGAAGGTGAAGCTTGCTTATTAAACATATGAGTTATTTGTTAATTTAGGAGCTTATATGTTAGGTATAAATATTAGTTGTTAATGTTAAAGTTGATTTTTAAACGTATGCATTGACTATTAAATATAAAGCATAGTTGTTGAACATATTTGAATTATTCTACAAGCTGATTTTACGCATCTTTAAGCAAAGAAAGACAAACAATACTGCCCAAATTTGCATATGTATGAAGAAAAACAGTAAAACCCAAAAATAGAAAATTTAAAGTTAACAAATTAAGAGCTTATAGAAACAATTGTCCAATAAAATTGACGCCTAGCGCTAAAACTTAACAACAACCTATTAGTTGTAATATATATTCTATAAAATTAACATTTATACTCTAAACTTAACAACCAATGTTCAAAATTAATATGTGCTATATAATTTAACAATTGTGCTATAAACATAATAGAAAACTAACAAGTATATTTAAATCTTCACTAATAAACTTGAAAAACCAAATGAAAAACCCAGTCACATGACTTTTAATTGGGAGAAGAATGAAAGACGCTCTGAGCAAAAGTTTCAATTTAAAATGCCGATTGATTATGTTATCAATCCCTCACTCAATAACAACAACAACAACAACAATAACCCCAAATTCCTGTAAATTCTCCACTAGATCATTAAACTTCAAAACTCGTTTCTAAAATCCTCCTGTTTCCATAACTCACATCTAAAAATACCACTTTTCCTTCAATTTCAATCCAAATATCTCTAGGCTGCGTTTGGGAACTTGGATTTGGGCCCTGGATTTAAAATCCAGGGTATTTCAAATCCAAATCTCTCGTTTGGGCCTTAAATTAGACTGAGATTTTAAATCAAATGATTTTAAAGAGGTGATTTTGAAAGCCCAAATACACGTATTTGAAATCCCTCCCTCACCCTTGATATTTACCAAATCCAGATCCGGACTCCTCCTCCTCTCTCCTATATCTCAATCCCAATCCCGACTCCTCCTCTCTCTCGTTTCTCAGTCGCGATCTCGAATCTCTCTCAACGCAGGTATCTCTCCTCTCTCCTCTCTCCCCTTCTCCTCTCTCCCCTTCTCCTCTCTCGTCTCAACGCAGGTATCTCTCTTCGTATTTTGAAACCCTAGATCTGATCTAACTTGGCTTTTCTCTGTTGTAGCTTGTTTTCTCCTCTCTTTCGGTTGCTCTCCTCAAACTTCTGTAGTTTCTGATTGGGATTCAAGGTATGACTTCAATTTTTGCTATTTTTTAATTTTTAAATTTTTTGGTTGTTTTTTGGGGATCTGAGGATGTTACTATGCTCCAATGGCGATCAATATGGTTGCAAGTCTGATATATGATTTATGTTAATAATATCCAGAGCAGGGTATTTCCTATTTTATTGTGCTTAGGTATGCTTAGGGACATGTGAGCATATCTACGATTATAATATGAAATATGATTTGTGTCTTCACCTGCCTGCATTAAGATAAACTATTGAATTAGAAAAATTAGACTGCACTGTGCATAGAAATATGACTGTAGCAAATCACTGTGTGAATTAGCTTTGGTAATGACTGTAAAAAATGTGGTGTTTTTCTTTTTTTTAAGTAGTCATATATTGCAGTTGGAATTTATGTAAATCTATTAACGGTGACGATCATGATAAAGGCCTGCATCAACCATTTCTTAGTTTAATTCGTATTCTGTCAGTCAAAGTATGAATTAGCTTTGGTTCAGTCGAAGTATGAATTTGGTAATGATTGTAAAAAGACTAGTACTGCTTCTTGGTTGTTGGTGAATGATACTTATTTCATTCAAATAAAATGTTACAAGCTGCTATAAATACTCCAGTACAGGTACTTTATTGTGCATATGAAGCTGCTACTTATACATTGCCCATGTCTTCATTACTGCCCTTTATTAAATTTGCGACAATTTGTTCCCTCAGCTTTGGAGTGGGTATTGTAAAATTTACTTATTAATTTAGAAGATTGTGTACAAAGACAATTAAACACAACATCTCTCTTGTTTGTGTTTGTTGGTTAGACATCTGTTTGCTTTTCCTCAACTATAAACATTTTTTTTTATAAAAGTACACAAACATTTATAGCTTGATATTTAGAAGTTTGTAACTAGGTTAATTAATTTATGATGAGCAAATCCCTTGTTGCTATTATGGAAAGGCAGTTTCTGTATTGCAGTTGGAATTTGTGTATTCTTTTTAAGTAGTTCAGCTTCCTATATAGTGTAAATTATTTCTATTCTCTCTATATCTCTTTTAGCAGGTGTTTAAGGTATAATCTAATGTTTTATATGAGTTTCTCTTTCCTTTTCTTTGTGGTTGTGGTTGTGTGCGTGTGCTTGTGCAAGTAATATTGAATTCCAATTAGCTTGTGTCACCAGGATTTATTACTGGAAGGGTGATATTAGGCTGGTAATCAATAGTTTGCATTTGTTCTTTGTTGATTCAAGGTGTTAGATGTGGAAAAAATTATCGGTGATGTTTAAGCATCTATATGCTTAACAGATATTTGAGCTGTTTAGGTTTTAGAATGCAATCAGCTTGCTAACTCTGCTTATTCCTTCAAAGGAAGTATTTTGGTTTGAAGCTTTTATTGCGAGGAATTGTGTCATGATAGTTCACAACGTCTATTTTAAATGCAGAATGGTTTGTTTTTGTTGCCATGGCATCCAATTCAGATAAGGCTTGTGATCTAGATTTGTAAAAAAAAGTGTGACAAGTTATTTATTCATTTATTAATCATCTCACAGCCTATAGAAGTCATTCTATTGACTCTTGCAATTTTATCAAACAGGTGTTCAAGGTTGTTGTAGTTGCAATTATATCAAACAGGGCGTAACCTTAAAGAAACACAATATTGGATTATGTCATTGACTCACTGGTAAAAGGGGAAATACAAAAAATTAACTGTGCAGTATTAGTCAGATAGTTAAATGAGAATCAGGTTCAAGATTTTTTCTATGTTAAAATGTTTGTACGGGCTTTTCCTAGCTCCTTTTCTTCATTCTAGTGAAGTTCTATATTACGTATTCATAATGTAAAGTGTCAGATTCATTTATTCTCCCTAAATTTTACCTCCTTTTCCTATATTGGAAACTTGTTTTAATTAGCCAAGTGAGTATTTGATCGGGATTTATAGGAGAATTGGTGACCTCACGGTTAATGACTTATCTCTTCTGTTCTTGGAGAATATGACAAGCCTGTCCATTCTGTAAGCTTATAACTTAGTCAAAATGCTCTTCATAACAAATAAGGCAGCCATGGATGATGTGACGCCCCTGGGTTCACACAAGGCTGCAGTCCAAGGTGAAACCAAGAATGTCAAACCTGCCATGCACCACACCGTGCAATAACATGTTTCACCATCACAATTAACATCTATCTAGTAGAATCAACAACTGGTATAGGCACAAAACAGGTAAGAGATAATACAAGGAATACTGATGAAATGATAATAGTCATATAAATATCTCATCATCCAACAATACAGAAATACATAGTCAAGATCTGAGTAGATAAACTGAAATACTCAACAAGTCTCAAATACAAATATCTGACGATAAGGAGATAAGGCTCACAGCCTTTACAACTTCTAGAATAATACCCTCAAATGTCTAACCTCACTACAGTGGAGCCCAAAGAAAATAATACATAGCTAGAAAGTAAAGCTGAACACTAATGTGGTCCGCTATCAACCTGCGGCTCTCCGTGCTCCTGGCTCGTGACCTGAAAGGGGGAAGGACAACGAGCGTCAAAGCGCTAGCGAGTAACATCACAACCAACTCCAAAACATAGACTATATAAATTAAACGTCCAACCCATAGACTGCATGAAGTAAACGTCCAACTCATGGACTGAATATAACCGTTGTCCAACGCATGGACCGGATGTGACCGTTGTCCAACGCATGGACCGGATGGTAATGCATATCCAGCACGATGATTAAAAATAGCTATGCATGTCCAACACGAGGACTAAGAGGTAATGCTAGCCCAACACGAGGACTGTGGATTTTAGTCCAACACGAGGAGTGTGAAATGGTGAAAATATCACTGGGATACATAGTGAAATCTACCTATATCAATTCACAGTCAAAACAGTGCAAACCCGAAACCCGAAACCCGAACTGGAAATTCAGTCTGACTAGGAACATTCTCTTCGGTATTTTGGTTATAACTTTCTCATACGACTTCGGAATAAGGTGATCTAAGATTTGTTGGAAAGCTCTTGAAGAGACCTACAACTTTGATTTTATACACTTTTCCAGATTCTTAATGAATCAGTGAGAGAAACATAAAAACGCTCAACTGGTCAAAATTCCCAGATTCTCACTCTTGGCCTTTGTGCATGATTTGTGTATTTGTACTCACATATATACATATATACATTGAATTGATCTCAAATCAGTTTCTAGCATACTCAAATATCATAATATATTATTTATAAATGTATAACATATTTATTATTATTTATCATAAAGGTCATGAATCAGTAAAATCGCGAAAATAAATCTTTAAAACTTTGCCACCAAGATTCCATAAATATATAAACATGATTTACTCATCGTTAATAATAAAAATAGGGTTTTTACTCCTTTCCTAGGTATTTTCAGATCTAGATCTGTTAACAGAAAACGTTGGTGAGTTTTTTAAAACAGATAAAATCCCAAATCCATATTCTATGCCACAATACTCTATTAGCTATTTTAAAATACGAATTTGGCTCCATAAAAACCAATAAAAACTCAGTTCTTGACATGAAAACAAAAAGGGTGGGGGTTGGGCGAGAAATTACTCGCCTTCTCCTTTTTGTCACGCACACAACATAAGAACCGATTTTATATTTTCTCCTACAAAACACCTTCCTCGTGGATCGATATCTTTATACTATAACTTGACACGGTTGTGCACTTGCAACATATTTTGGTACATAATTATGCCGCATCATGTTTTTGGAGCCGTTGCTGGGTAAGATGCTTAAGTAGGTTTTAATTATTTTGGTTCTTTAACTTTTGTGTTTATTGTGAAGGAAACGCTTGGAGCTTGAAGATCGCGGATTGGAGAACTAGGATTTAAAGATTTGCTTTTGGGTAAGTCTTTTTTCTAACATTTTCAATTATACCCATTTTAGTTAGCATCACAATTAGAGACAATTAGGATTTAAAAAAAAGAAAGGATTTTATTTTTTGTTAACCATAATAAAATTCATCCTCCACTTTGACATTTACTAACAAGATAATAAATTCAAATAATTCCCCCTTCTCATTTGTTTGATTGTTAACCCTAATTAAAAAAAAAGATTTTTCTTTTCCATCCTTTTTAGTTGCTTTTAATTCATAGGGTTGCATTTCATATAGTGTAGGAATTCACCAAGTGATTTGAGCATCTTGATTTGACACACACTTAAAAATATTTTTAAGGGCAAAACCCCATAATCAAGATAAGGTGAGGGATTTCATCACCCTTTCCTTAGCCCAAAAATCACTAATTCCTCACTACACCACCCAAGCCTAATAAAACTCATTAGACGTTGGCCCCTAAGGATTCGAGCTCAATGAGCTCAATAAGGAACAAGAAATCCTGAAGTGAAACGGTTTAAGTTTTCTCAGATTAGTTGGTGTCTAAGGCAAGGTTTAGGGGTTGCATAAAGCGCTCCGCAAGGAAAGATGTACTTAATTGATCTTTGATCACCCTCTAGTACTATTCTTACCTGGATAACTACCTGGGTAAAACTTTGATCTTTTCACTGTAGGAGTTTTTGGTTAGGAGCTGGTCTAGTTGAGTTAGGCTAAACCCTAGAATTAGAATTAATTGAAAAGTGATTGTTTTGATTTGTTTCAGTTAGGATTTTTCTTTTTCTTTATCTTCTAAAAAAAACTAATTTTCTTTCTTTTCTTTAAGAAAAAAAATAAAAAAAATTATTTTGGTAATATTTTGGTGTATGCAACAGTGGATTAAGGATAATACACATCGATTAATTCGCTTTGAACCAATCATAGAAATGGAGCATCCTAATCCACCCGTTCTTCATGATATGTGCTATCCCATTAGGAATGCAATCCCCTCATGCATTAGGCTCCCCGAAACAAATGGAATAAGTTTTGAGCTTAGACCGCAATACATAAACATGCTTCCCAAATTCCTTGGTAATGAAACAGAAGACGCATATATTTTTATTTCGGAATTTGAGGAAGTGTGTATTATGATTAAAATGAGAGAA